TACTGTGCCTACAGTTGCAAAGAACAGACTTGTTTTCTGGTTTTATTTAAAACTAGACAATTGGCTATCCTGGGGCTAGTTGTGATTTTTGGTCTGCACTGATTGCGCCACTGGAGTCTGGATGTGGTGTGTGGTAGGTACGCATGCATGCATGTGTGTTAGAACTGGTTAGAACGGGGCAGTCCGGAGCGGTAAAACTTACGCGTCCGTTTCAGGAACGTGATAACGTTTGTTAGCCGACACGCAAATGTGTTGTCGGCTGAGAAGAATTCGGCACCTCAGCTTTCGAATCTGATAACGACGGTCGTGCATCCAGCTCGATTAATCCAGTCCTGGGCAAATAAGCCGGATCGACATGGAAGCGGTCGAGGAGAGCGAGCCCAACGTTCTTCGCGAGATCGCGAATGACGAGGAGTTGGCACAAATACCGAGGGAATTAACAAGGCGGATCCATGCGCATTTTAATGCAAAATTCGAGGAGTTCATAACCGCCAAGGCAGTTTTCGAGACCAACCGAAAATGCTTGGGTAAGCTGGCCTCCTCGGTTTGAATTTCGCATTTCTGCCAATTGGGGGACGCTTGTCTTATTTACATACTTCGGAAATTCCGGTGTTTTTCATTTATCCTTTCTCGAATTTAGGTCGCTTCTGACAGTTCTTTCGTTATTCATTCGTGACACGATACTGCTTCTTTAATCCTAAACGTTGAACGTAATCTATCGCAGTGCCGAAATTCGGCTCAAAATAATGAATCCTGCATAAATAAATGGAAGCTCGAGAACTTTATATCATACGTTGACTTGCAGAGCAAAATTTGGAGAAGGCGCAGAAGGAACTCGCCGAGCAGAAGTTTGATCTCGACGAGTGCAGAGGAAAGTTGGAGCTAGAGGAAAACAGCAATACGGAAGTATGTAGCAATCTTAAGGAAGTGAAAATTGAACAGCACAAATTACAGGAATCTGTCAAACGGTAATGTTCATTTACATTTCGATAATAAATAATACAATTACTATATAAAATAGCAAAAGACACGTTTATTTTTAATACAGTTGTCACATTATCAACATTTAATATGTTGTAATTGTATCCTATTTAATGTGAATTACAGGTTGGAAAAGGAAAACAGCGAATTACGCAGACAGAAAGACGCAGTTACGGATGAGGCTAATGCATTGCAACTGCAAGTTGAAAGACGGGATACGGAAGTTGAAAGAATGCGTACCGAATTGTCATCTTTAAGCTCTCAGCTTCAAACTGCCATTGCAACCAAGTGCCAAACTCTAGCTCAGACGGAAGAAATTCGCAGCCGAGAAATGACCTTGGACTTCAAGTGAGTTAAAAGGGAGAAAAAAAAGCTGTTTTAAATGCATGTGCATAGATATGATTGTGTCATTTAAAATTATCTAGAGTTATTAAATTTTTATTAATTTTGTATGATTCGTAATAAACACAATTAGTTTTACTAATGTATTCTTAACTTGAATTATGTGTGTAGGGAGAAACGACTGGATCAAGAACGAGTGCTTCTCTCACAACAGATGGCAGGCCTGGAGGAAGAGCTGGGCAAGAGGACCTCTGAACTTCAGACAGCGAGATCCGAATCCTCTGCCAGGGCCCTCTTAATCGATACGAAACTGTCGCAGCGCGAGGAAGAGTTGAGAATAGCCAACGAAGCCAATTCCCAATTGCGAGAATCGGTTTCCGCCATTCAAAAGCAATGCGACGAACTGGCTCAGAAAGTGGAGCAGCAGCGAGCCCACGAGATCGCTATAAATGATTCTTATCAAAAAGAAATTAACGCGCAGAAAAATCTCGCTAGTCTGTACGAGTCGATGAAGGACGATGCCAATGCCAAGGCCGAGGAGATCTCTAATGCAGCAAGCGAACTGCAGAAATTAGTGGATAGCACTGCGGAAGAGTATGGAATTTTGGAGACAAAATACAATCAGTTACTGCTCCAGCACAAGCAGGATATCGATGACAAAGAGCAAAACATCCAGGAATTGTCAAAAGAGCTGGAACATGCCAATGAATTGCTGAAGAATATCCAGCAAGGTGGGTGGCATATTTTCTGTCGGGTTTATTGCATCGATATTGGCGGCATACTTTTGATTCTTAGACCATAGGTATCGAAATACTTTTTAATTATTTTTCCTATCATCAGATGTATATTTATTTATAAATTTCACAGAGAAATTGAATCAAGCTGTAGAACAGTTGGCACCTACAGCAGCTATAACCAGTCGAGTGCTACGAAAAGGTCTGAGCCTCACCCAGATTTATACCCAATTAGTCGATGTCACCAATGAATTGACCTTGGAGAGAGAAGAAAATGAGCGCCTCAAGTCTCAAATGGAGGTGATTCTTCGCGAGTTGGAGCAAAAGGCGCCATTACTGCAACAACAACGTCAAGATTATGAGACGGCTATGGCAAATATCGCATCGTTGACAAACAGGCTGGACGAACTCCTCGCGGAGAACCAGCGTCTTCATGAAAATTCCGATGAGGCTAACCGCCTTGCCAAGCATCACACTACAGAAAATCAAAGGCTGAAAGCTGAATTGGCTGACTTGGCTAGACAAGTATGTCATGTACATGTTATAAAAAATTAGAATTTAAGAATGGTAAACAGGTCATCTCTCATGATATATGATTATTAAATTTTTTTACATTGTTATAGGTGTGTTATCTGCTTAAAGAAGTTCAAGAATGTCGCACGGGCACTCGCATGGAAACTAGAGATCTATCTTCCTCCATCGACACGGATGACATCTTATCGTCGCAGATTATCACCAAGAAATTGGTTACCTTTAAGGATATTGAGGAACTGCAGGAGAACAACCAGAAGCTCTTGGCAGTTGTCCGCGCGTTGTCATCCAGACAAGAAGAAATCGAACGGGCCACTGACGAAATAAATTCGGGCGAGATGAAGGAGAAGCTGGATCGTTATATGGAGCAGTTAACAGAGATGCAGGCTGCGCAAGATAGGCAGTCGAAGATGCTGGATGGTCTTTTGAAGCAGAGAGATTTGTACAAAAACATGTATCAACAGGCGAAGAATTCCAGTGAGAAAAAAAAAGAGGAGGTGGAAAAAGATATCGAGGAGGACGAATCCAAACTGGGAGAGAAATCAAAGACAACGAAAAGTGATGAAGAAAAAGAGAAATTGTTTAGAAAGCTAAAGGAGGCTGAGGATAAATTTAAACATGTTTCGGATGAGTATGAGATATATCGAAAAGAACGAACAGCTCATGAAAAGATGTTGAGCGAGGAAGTTGAGAGACTTAGGAAGGAAGCAGAAGCAAATTCGGCGAGGTGTTGCAGACTGAGAGCACAGTTGGACTCGGCGAACGAGAGATTTTCACTTTTGCAGGGCAATGTCGCTTCTTATAAGACCCAAATCAAGGCACTCGAAGAGAAATGCACCAATTACAACATCACCATCAGCAAACATGAGCAGAGTATCATGATTCTAAAAGACGAGACGCTCGCCGCTCAAACTCGCTTATCCCGAGCGGAAGTTCAGTCGGAAAATCTTCGTCAGGAACGTCAACTTCTGCGAGACTCTGAGGGACGTTTGCTAAAGGAGCGAGAGATCTTCCAAAGGGAAAGAAAGACTCAAGCACTGCTCAAGGCGGATATGGAGTCTATTAAGGCCAGTTTAGAGCGAGTTCAGGCTGAAGGGCAGCTTAGGGCTGAACAGAGACTCGACGATGCCAACAGGGAATGCGCTGCTCTTCGACGCCGTCTTCAGGAAGAACAGGATCGCTTCAGGGAATTGGCAGGTCATTTAGAGAGACAATTGATGACCGCTCAAGAGAGATTAAAAGAAGAACACGAGTTGAGTGAGAGATTGAAGACGGATCTGGATCAAGTAAGAGAAACTGAGACTCAATATAGTCAGAAAATTGATCAATTAACCAGTAAATTGAAACAAGTAGCCGCCCATTCCATCGCTAAGCCCTTGACAGGTGATGAAAATCTTATAAAGAGAGTAAAAGAGTTGGAGATGCAACTGAATAGCTCTCAGGTCGAAGCGAAGTCTCTCTCTGAACAATTGAAGGCAGCTAGACAGCAAAGCCAGCAGTATTGCGATATTGCTGAGAGTGCTGAAACGCAGTTGAGAGAGTTAACAGCCGAATATAACAAATGCAAAGAAGAACTGGAGAACGCCCTGAAAGAATCACGTGTAGAGATCATTTCATTGCAGAAGAGAGTAAAGGACCTGGGTGATGATCTGGCAAGAATGTCAAATGGCAGACAAGAAACCGACTCAGAATTAAGAGACAGACTGGCCGATGCTGAAAGGAAGGGCGAAGAGGTGGATGAGTTGAAGGGTGAGTTGGAATTAATGAAGAGCGATCTGAAATCTATCTCTATCACGGCCAAAGAAACGGAGGACAAATATGCTAGAGAAATGATGCAGCATTCGTCCGATTTGCAGGTAAGTCTAGCGATCAAAAGAAATACGTTTATATAAATTTGTTATCTATTTACATACATATGTATTTTTATAGATTTTAACAAAGTTGAAAGAGGAAACTCAGCAAGTTCAACAGCGACTTGATATGCTGACCCAACAGCGGAACGCAGCAGTGGAAGCTCTGGAAGCTGAGAAATCAGCCTCAAAAGAAAGAGAGCAGAAGTTCATCAACGAGCTCGAGGAAACCCAGAAGAGAATTGTAGATCTCGATACGCAGAATGCACTTTTGCACAATCAGCTTCAGGAGTTGGGCGACCGAGTATCCATCATGCAGAGTCAGCAGACCAAGATAAGTGGAAGGGATAGTCCTGATACCAGCCTGGAATCTCTAAACAAGAGTTTCAGCTCTGTAGAGGAAGATTCCAATTCCGTTAAACAATTGTTAAGAGTTATACATTATCTAAGAAGAGAGAAGGATCTGGCCTTAGCTAAATTCGATGTTCTCAGAACTGAAAATCTTAGGTTGAAATCACAGGCCGAGGTGGTGGAAAAGCGGTTGAAGGAAACCGAGACGATGTTAAATTGTGAACGAGAAAAGTCCGAAATCGAAGTAATGACCACATCCAAACATGCAGAATTATTGCGCAAAGTAGAGACCTTAAATGCCATCACGGATTCTAATCGAATTCTTCGGGAAGAGAGAGATAATCTTAGTGCAAAGGTTAACGAGCTTGTAGCCAAAGTAAATGCTTTATCGGAGGAAGTAGTACCGCTTCGAGATATTTCCAGAGATATGACAGCTAAAACGGAAGCTTTGACAGAGGAAAACAACAGTTTGAAAGGCGAGGCAACTAGATGGAGGCAAAGAGCGAATACATTATTGGAAAGAGCGAATAAGGCCAGCCCTGAGGATTGGCGACGACTTCAAACAGAAAGAGAGAACCTGAGCAAGCTGTTAACGTCGGAGAGAGAGACTCATGCAAAGAGAACTGAAGAATTTAATCAAGTGAAAACAGAGAAGACGAAACTCGAGGAGCAACTGCAAATCCAAGATGAACAAATGTCGCGAGCATCGGAAGAAGTCCGTAAACTAGGTCAAGAGCTCAACGAGGCACTAGCCGATTCCTCTTTGAAGGCAAAGGACTTGGCTTCTCTTAAAAAGGAATTGAGCGATAAAGAGGCGGTTCTTAATGATATCAGAAATAAGGAAATTCAGATCCGCAAAATAGCCAAGAAGTATAAAACGCAATTTGAGGAACTCGCCCGAACCGTTGAGGAAGAGAAAACTCGCAACGAGGAAACGAGAAACGAGGACGCTTCCAGCGCCATAACGCAAGAGCGTGAGGATCAACTGCGGGAGGAAGGTCGTCAGGAACTTCGTCAAGCGAACATCGAGCTCACGACGAAGATAGATGAAGTAACTCGCCAAATAACAGTGGCTCAAAGCGAGGCCGATAATCTGAGAAAGGAAATCGAGACCATGAATCGCAGCAGTATAGAGAAGGAGGACAGAGCAAAGCAGGTCCTTAAGGGCGCCAGAACGAAAATCATGCAGTTGACCGAATCCAAAAAGATCTGCGAAAAAGAGTTAATGGATTTAAAATCGAGGCTAGAATCCGCAGGAGGCAGTACAGGAGTTCAAGGGGATCCTGATGCAGAGCACGACGCGCGATTGGTAGCATTGAAATCGCAGATGGAAGGTCGTATCTCTAGATTGGAGCATGAAAAGTCGGAGATACAGGCAGAGAAGGAAGCGCTTTTGCAGCGAGTCGCGCAACTCCAGAGACAGCTGTCAGGAGTAAGTGGGGTAAGCGCAACCACGGAGCCGCCAACAGCAAATATTAAACCGATGTCAGCTAGAGCTGAAACACCACTGGCCAGTATCAGACCAATGAGCGTGGTGGTGCAGTCGCGAACAGCTGCCGTTTTACCGACTACAGCTGGTGCGCCGGTCATGGTTGCGCCACATCAGATGCAGCAACAACAGGTTGTGCATACTACGGAGACAAGCTCGCCGACTAGCAGTTTGACCGACTTCCAGCCGGCAAGTACCAGTACTTCTTCGCAGAGTGCACAAACTAGCGGTCTTCGTCAGTTGGTGGTACAACCCCAGTTGAGTGAATCGGCGGAATCGACACAAAGAGAAGATCCAGAAAGTGCGGAGACACTTAACTTACAGTCGCAACAGCAACAATGTCAGCAGCAACAGCAGCAGCAGCAACAAACAGTGGCGCTGGTGAGTCCTAGAGTGGAGCAGCAGCAGCAGCAGCAGCAGCAGATCACTGTCAGCGATCAGCAACAGACAGTGGCAAGCAGCTCCACTCAGTCCGTTAGTACTTCTCAAGCTTCCACGGGGCTCAAGAGAACACGAGGTCTAGACTCAACCGCCTCCGGTTCAGGGATAGTCGAAGGATTGGACCATGGACGTCAAGAGCAAGTGCAGAGTCCGAAAACTAAGAGAAGTAGACAGGATATTAGCGCGACTGCAAGCGCTAGTGCTTCGGAAGTAGAGTATCAGGTAAGGATAATATGGCGGGGAAAATAGAAAGAAGATTAAATTAAATCATTTACAATTGAGTATTTATTAACAATTTGGTTAAAAAAAAATAATATTTTGACACTTTATTTATACTGCTTCAGGTTCCCACGTCAAGTCAGAGAGATCAAGATGAAGAAGTAGAAGAAGGTTGTGTAGTAGTGGTAGACTGTGATGAGGGTGAAGGCGGAGGCAACCATCAAGCACAGGAAGAAGAGGAATTTGACAACGATACGTATGAAGAGATAGAGGAAGAAGAAGAAATGCCGTATGAGGTCGAAGTTGAGGTTGAGCGAGATAATAACGAGGTAGAGATTATTATGGAGGAGGATTCCACCAGCGTCGAGATCCCTCGACAAGGTCAAGCCATTATTCCTACAAATCAGCAACAATCTGAAGCTATCAGTAGTGCGGGACCGACTGGAGAACCCGCTACATCTTTCACAGCAAGGCCTAGAGGTATCGCGCCAATGCCCAGACAGCAACAACAGCAGCATCTTCTTCTGGTATTCAGAATATTTACGATATTATATATTATATTTATTTATTAAACCTTATAAAGTTTACTTTACTCTTCATTATTACAAATTATCGTTATTTCTTTCTTCTCTAAGCCACAACAAGGTTATGAAGATGGTGGCGACGACTGCATTGTACCAAGCACTCCTACTCTTTTCGTTCCTCGTCGCGATGGTTTCGGTGAAGCTGTGAGTTCTCCGCAGGTACCACAAGGTCGTTTCACTTTTGGCGACTCTTCGGCACCTACGACAGCTTCCTCGACACCATCCCTGACAACGCCTACAGGCTCTACTACTAGAATTTTTGGTTCAACCAATTCTGCTGTAGTTCAGGTCGTCCAAGAGAGTCTGGACGATGGTAGAATGGATTTAGCACAACTAGAGGATAGTGGAACTGGTCGTAGCGTTCCCACGACACCTCTTCAAGTTTCCCCAGCTGCGGATTTGCCTCCTTCGGTAGAGAAAATTCTGTGTTTCATTGCAGTATCTTATAAAACACCAAGCAGTGCTATGAATGTCTCGTTTCGCAATTCTCATTGTAACAGACCAGTAGCGGCCAATCTGAAGAACAAGAGAGCACCGTGACGCATGTTTCTATAACGGCCACTTCCGGAGACAATGTCGAGGAACCTAACGTTCCCAGCATTCGCATCGTTAGTACTGATGAACAGCAACGTGGTGCGACTGAAGCTACAGAATCTAGTACAACTCCAAGTGAAGGTATCTCGTTAAATCGTAATCAAATTCTTTACAAAGTTTAGTCCTTAAAAAGTATGAATGATAATTCCACTCGCTTCTTTTTGTCTTTTCGCAGGAGTGAGCTCGGAAGGTGACAAGCGTGTGGAAGAACCAGCGACTCTGGCATCCGGTGAGGATGATGCCGCGGACACGGTAGAAGCGACGGAAGAGCCGGGAAGTGAACTCGTTGAAGACGAGGTTGAAGAGGAGAATCGCGAAGCAGAGGCATGTCCATCCAGCAACACTCGCCAGAGGACATTGGCAGCCAGCCTGGCTGCTGCAGGTGACTCCAACAGTGCTAGGGGAGTAACAGTGAGAAGGTCGCCGAGGTCGCCCTTCAGGGCTGCAAGAGGCGCGAGACCCACACCGATCGTATGGGGAGAAACTCAATCGGGTAGAGGTAAGTTAAGTATGTGATTAAACAAGTTTTTATCCGATTATTTCAAGATAAAAGAAACTTTATCATTTATTGTATTTTTTTCTCGTTATTTTCTTCATTTAGAAGACAAATGATTCACTATTCATAACTATTCAATGTACTATATATGTACAATTAGCATATTTCACCACTCTTTATGATATAGGTGAATTTATATTACGTGTCTAATGTTTCTGCACCAATATTTTATGTTTAAATGTTATCCCTATTTCTTCAGGACAACCCGTGATGCGAGGGCATGCTGCTAGAGGTGCCGCTAATGAGGGAGGACGAGGACGAGGGACGCGAGGTCGACGAATGCGCTCGAAATATCCTTATGCCCGATACTCGTAATATTGGCACAGCATTTTCTCTATCTTGTGTACGTCTTTTATTCGTCGAATATTTTGTGTAGTTTTTATTGTCGCTTATGTTACGTAAGTAAAAGGAAATCTCCAGTAAACTGATTCATTCATTTATAATGCTTTAACGTTCCTCAACATTTCTTGGAAAGAAATGCGCAGTTTTTTTCATTTGTATGAAAAAGAATTAAATAAAAAATTTATCTTTTTAAATCAAATTCTTTAAGGAACATTAAAACATTGTTTTTTTTTATGTGGGTTTGAATATCGAAAAAGGTTTTGCAATAGTTTTGTCATTTTTTAAAAGTACTATAAATAATTAATAATAAGTAATAAACTTTTGATTTAAGAAAATAAAGTTAGATTTCAATTCCTCTTCTGAATTGGATTGTTTATTTTGAAATTATTTTGACCAAAAATCCTGAAGTTTGTTTTTAAAACGGGCAAGCAAAAAGTTAAATGTACGTTTGAATAAATAATATATTATTATTTTATATGCGACTCGGATTTCGATTCGCAAACTAGCGACATTTTTTTTGGCAGAGTTGACTTCATGGAACAAGTGTCCGTGAATATCGACGTTGACATAACGGCGCCGCCGGCTCTCATTTGGGCGTCAGTCCAATTCTTTTCACACGTCTGCGCGCTAAATCGAGAATGCGTATTGTTTCACTATTTTTGTCTTCCGTCTTCCAGACAGACAGACGAATAAACGATACAGCTAATAACAAAATTATAGCCGGAAAAATTAACATTAGCTTTTCTAGAAACTTTATTTGGAATTAAATGCAAGGTAAAAAATTTGTTTGAGAGTATTTTGCGGAGAAAAATTCGTTTGGGTTCATATGGTTCAATTTTATATTTAAGATTGGCTTACGATTCCATCCAGTCAATAAATTGACCGCGTAGCATCTCGAGTGTCCGAAATGATCTCAAATATAAAATCGGATTTTGAACATTGTCTTTAGAGTTTATTTAAAAAACATATCTCTTTTTTAATAGAGCCATGTACAGCAAGATGGATTATACATGCATTTTTTCGATCGGTGGAAAAAATTCACTGAATTAATTGATTTTTTCCAATAGAAAAAATTATTATCGGTGTTCACAATAATTTTGTGAAAAAAGTGATAAAATTTGTAAGAATTCCTCGAATTTTATGTTTCATAAAATGTCTTATTTGTTTTTTAAACTTATTTAGATAAAAAATCAATGTTGAATCAATGTTGTCGCTTATTAGGAAAAAAATTGTAATCTGAGAAATATCAGTGAAAACGGTCGAAAGTAAATAAATTACTTAACTTGAGATTTAAATAGAAAAAGATTACGGGTGGGCAACAAGCACAGAAATAAATTTTACGAGTTAGTATAAAAATAGTCAAAGCTGCAATTTATTTTTATATAAACATTTTCATCGCTTTTCTTAAATTAGTCGATATATAAATTAATTAATACAAAAATTAAATAACATTCGAGTCATTAGCTGCTAATTACGTACTACAAGAAATACTGTTGAATCCTTTCGATACACCGATCGCGATTTTCTCTTATTATTTATTCTACATTGATATCCGTTCAATAAATAAATAAATTATAATACAAATAAACGGTTAGTTCTTTTAAATTGTGCTAAATTTAAAATTGGTATTGAAATACTGTGTTGTGGACTAAATTGTAAAAACGCTCCTTACATTGGCCATAATAGTTGTGATTTTCACTTAATCTCGTTCATTTAATACATAAATAAAATAAACTTTCTAAAAATTCACTGCCTATTTACATCTATAGAAATTGACTTGTAAAAAGAATCGTTTACGACGCAAAGAAGTCTTTTTTTTCTTATTTTTGAATCTTAATGTACTCGCCTATAATTTTGTGACACGTGCTCATTGTATAGAGCTGTGTATTTACATACAAACGCAGTTATTTCCGCCGCGTCTGGACTTTGTTTAACTAAACTTCTGCCTTCAACGCACAAACGATATCGCATTTAGTAAATATATAGTGAAGTTATATTTAACGCGGCTGTGTTAGTTACGCGATGTTATTAGTTTTGTATAAAGATCAAATTAACGTTAAAAATCGTTAAAAATAAAAAACCGTTAAAAATCAAATGTGAATCCGAAGAGAATAATTGACGCCATTTTACATATGTCTCACTTCGAGACCTTGCTATTATCGCTATAAATTGATATGATCTTCTTATCACAATGTCAGTTAAAAGTATAAGTGTAAAATTATGCACTATTACATTTAAAAGTAAAAATAAAAATAACATCTAAAAATATGCACGATTACATTTTGTGAGGCAGGCGAAAATATGTATAATAGGATCGTTGCTAAGCCTCATTTCGTATAACACATACTCATTTGTGATATAACATTCTGTATGTTCGGAATATACGAGAAGAAATGCATCGCGTTAAGAGCATTAATGCGGCTTCTCGCACTTTTTTAGTTTATCCTACAATACTAAATTGCTTAAAAAAAATTGGCACGGTTTGAAGTCTATTAAGTACGCCGACAGGTATTATTGCAAAATAAATGTCCCTGATAAAGCTGAATGTTTACGAGATATTTATATATTTCTATTGAAGGATAAATTTGTTTTTCTGAAAAACCAAACAAGGAATCTTTAAGTCGTTGAAAGTCCGTAAGTTTACCTCATGAAGAAGGTTCGCTTCCATTTTTTATCAGTCATCCGAAGAATCTTTAATTTGAAGTACCTATTCTTTGTGACAATAATTCGTAACTCATAATCACAACCACTTAATGAACATTTTTCTTCGTTAGCTTTCCACCAGTCATTGTTTCTACCAATTTTTAATTTATTAATTAGGCTTATTAAAATAATTTGCATAGTATCAAATATCAAAGTTTGCATGATGTCTACTAACTAATTTCACCTTATTACTTCTTGTCTCTCGCCGTGGTCACATAGTTGTAAACAGGATAAATAGGGCGAGCTAGAACTGAAGTTCTAAAGAGACTTTGTCTTACTACAATCTATCTGATGGCTGTCTCAATTATTATCAACACTAACATTTATTGTAGATCCACTTTATATCAGTTTTTCTTCTAATGTTTCACTGTATGTATAGTGCTAAAAATTCTTGGTAAGCAAGTCAGTGCATTTTACGTTCTTGGTGCGTTCCTAGTGTTTCGATCCTAGTCTCGACGCGCAATTTTACGGAATCTTACAGAATTAAGGTACAAATAAAAATCTTAAAAAATTAGTTCCAGTCTTGATTAACCGACTTCAATTGACACTCCACATTATTATTCTTCCAGCTGGTATCCATTGAAATACAAGATAAATCCAATTGGTTGCTGGCCGATCCACTTGCAGTCTTCTGCTTCGGCATTGAATCTGGGACCCAGCGTCGAGACCCGAAGGACCTCGAGGATCAAAGAATCTGTACACTAGGCGGCCGAGTGTCCTCCCTAAATCTCTCACTAACACTACTAATCTCGCAGCTGCATCTGCCGTGCTGCTCGATCCTGATCCACGCTTTCCTCGTGCTATTCGTCAGCAGACTCCATACCTCGACCTGCATATCCTCGTGATAGATCGACGACTGCACCGGCGCGCAGCTAAGATCGGGGCTAACGCAGCAGCCTGAGTGACTGTCGCATCTCTTCACCACAATATACACCGGCTGGTTCACGCTTTCGCTCGGTTGCATGTTGTGTATCAGATCTCTTAAATTGTAGGCTCTCGATTGGGGCTCTCTGCAGAGGAACTTCTTCGAGGCTTCCATCGCGCGCGGCAGGTGGATCCTCCTTGAGATCCGATGATGATGACCGCCGTGATGAGCCGTCAATACCACCATTATCTGATCTACCGTCGTCAGAATTAGAATCAAGAACCTTAAAATCGATCCCCTCGGTCTGCCTTTCATCGTCGGTTCTAGCCGGCCTCCCCAAAAGCGAAATCACGCGGACCCAAAGTCCAAGCTCAAAGGGATTCCCGACCCGGAGGCTCGACCGCGTTCGATTACTGAACCAATCAGTGATATATACTATACATTTTCGTATTTCGTAATTTATTTCGTAACATACAATCCCTTAGGGTTACAAGGCGTTTTTGAAGGAACGTGCCCAAACCTCTTATAATACCTCTCTGTATATCCGCTATGTGGCGATCGAACGAAAAACCAACAATGTTTTGCTTGGTTTTGAACCCAGGTCTTCGGATTACCAGACCAGCGCACAATCCTCTGTACCACGATCGCCACACTTTCAGAAAGATGAGTAGCTCTCTTTCTTTTTGAGATTTTTTTCACTTTATTAATCTATCTTCTTGGATTTTCTTCGCTTTATCTTTGTGCTGCGTTTTCAAAGAAAATAGATATGTGCCATGACACAATAAACTTGATGGATTCTGTTTAAAGTCGATACTTTTCCCTCTTTCCTTTCTATTTTCGAAGCTTCGTTTTATCTTTGAGAAGCAAGGAAATCACGTGGCAAACATCTGGTTTTTGAATAGAGGTAGCTCGGTGAATGGGACAGAGGAGCTACACTGGCACCAAGTATCGGTCGACTGAAATTTTCCCACTGACACACGAGTATTTATATATCAAAGAGCTTGCACGCATGCCTCATGCGAGAACGTGCGTAAAGTCCGGATCGCGCGTGCCTTCCGCGATGATTCCGCTTTATTGTGCAACCATTTGTGCCGGCGTTAGTGTGTTTAACCCTTTGCACTTTGAATAATAATTGTCACAGTCAGTAATGGGATTGCCAGGCATCGGTATTGATTTTGTTGTATTAAATGATGTAATAAAGTAAGAGAATAAGATAATGAGTATCTATAATTGATATTTTTAATTTCACTATTTTTTTATAAAATTTGTTCTGAAATCATCAAACTTTTTTTATGGTAAATTGCTCAATTAATTTAAATTAATTTTTTATGTAACAGATCTTTGTAATTTTATCTTTAAATCTTTACATTTTTAAAATAAACTTTATTTTATTTTTATTAGAAATCAGGTGAATATAATCTGCTTGGTTTTCTAAAATTTTACTCGTTGAGAAATCTTCGTCCACAATCGCTTTTATTGTTTATAACTTAAAAATAATCAACGTCACGACATTTTTGCTGCAGAAAACGTCTACTCTAAAAATTTGTTATGAAAAATCTTCTATTGTGAGTTTGAGACAATATGAATACCTGCAATTTATTAAGGCGCGTATGATTTTAATATGATATACATATCAATATACACATCAATAATGTATGATTAATTTAAAACTTAGTTACGATAAAAAGAAAAGAAACATGCAATTGTTTCAATAATGCATTATTTTAATAAGAATAAAACTGTTAGAATAAAATGCAGTCAGCGATAATTCGATATAACAGTAATTCGTAAAACAGAATAATTGTACAATTTTACAATCGACATATGAGAAGTTAAGAAAAAGTTGGATTTCTCATTTTTTATAGGAAATTAATTGCTATGGCGAGAATAATTTGCGCGACGTCAATTCGTTTGAATGGCATTTTTGCGCGGACGGTCATGCTGAAAGTCATCTTTCGCGGCCGAGCGCTTCTAGCGACGAAGACGAGATCATCTCGCGAACGATGATTACGTCGAGTATTTCGGTTGCGGACTTGCTGACTTCCACGAATCGTAAAATTTCTTTTCTTCGTTTCATGCGGAAAAAGCTAAGCTACTTGTCTTCTCGGAAGTTACTACTTATGCTAGAGTATAATGCTAGGAGAGTAAAATACAATGCCATATAATTCCTCAGCTTCCGAACTCTTTAACAATATAATTATAACTTTCTTTATCAAGGAATTGTGAACTTTACTTATCATATTGGCGAGATTCAAATTTGATGTCTTTCAGTGTTTTTATTCCTCTCTCTTTCTAACTTTTCCAATATTTATTGATTTAAGTTTTTAAATTATTTGTGTGTAATTCTTCTGTTTGGCTTCTTTCAAGATTATTAGTTACGCGCTAACTTGTTCTACGAGAAAAATATAAATTCTCGAGAAATCAGAACTAGAAGATATGATAACGGCCACGTGCGTCATCTTGACAGGTGAATAACCAAATGCAGAAATATCGGTATTAATCAGGTACGTTCATTTTCTCAGTAATGATGAAATAGTATGCAAATTGGAATACATGCGATACATTTGCGTTTTAAAAGAGTTTTTTTACGCAAATCAGCTATTGACGAGTATCAATATGCAATTAAAGAGTTTTGCAACGCGACTTTTGTCTACTAGATTCCATCAAGGTTGTATCGAACAAGTAGTCTGAACTGAATTAATAAGTAAGCAAATTACATTAATGCAAATTACAGACTACATTAATAAATGAGTAGTGTTATACTTCCTTCTTATAATATGTTTACATATTAAATTACATAAATGAATATATTAAATGTAAAATTATTATTTTAAGTCCAAGTTACATAGGTCTTTGTAATTTAGTGAACGTTATTTTTTTGCAATGTTTTACAATGTTAAAGTGAAGTTGCTTTCTGTCTATAATGAGACTCTAATGGAGAATACATTTTGGAACAGAATTGAAGAATTTCTTTTTCCTCCTTTCTTCTTCTTGGGAACTAGTCTCGATAGATGATTCAGACGAATTGAGGAATAAATATATTTCCGTGAACATAATATTTCTGATTGTCATTGTAGTTAAATTCTTCTAAGATTTCTATCGCTTGACTAATTATATGCGGCGCGGCGCCCAAGAGTTTCTTGTTGCACAGGCGCTTTATCTTTATCAGAAACTACATGGCCACGTGCCAACCATGTGTCCATAGTATCGTGCGATGAGCTATTTTATCAGTTTATATATGTATATCAGTAATAAATTTAGAAAATTATGTATGTTGCTCTGTCCCTCCCTCTCTCTCTCTCTCTCTCTCTCTCTCTCTCTCTCTCTCTCTCTCTCTCTCTCTCTCTACATTCTTAATTGTAATGCATATTATTCTTTATTTACAGATGTATACATACATATGTATAATATAAAAATATCTGTATAACTTATTAATATAAACCATTCAAAGATAATTAATCTATAAACGTATAATTAATATATATACTTTTCAAATGAATTTTTTTGTTAAAAAACTAATTGCAATCAAATAATATTGGAAATACTATTTGATATCGTTTATTATTATACATATACATAGTAAGTGATAAATATTCTTATTAATGCAAGGTAATGCAATAATTTATTTTCATAAAATTTAATATAAAGTCTAAAGAGATTATTAATTCTTTACACAAATCAATCAATATCAATGCAGAACAGATTTAGTTTTATGATTTCATCGGCGCTGGATAATTTTATACCCGTTGTAAAGCCTGTGCTGTGACGCATGTGGGAACACCTCGTTAAAGATACCTTCTTTCCTTCGTCGGGAGTTCCCTTATTACTGACGTCATTTACAACGTGAGTGATTTTCTGGTATATTATCCTGTACATTCGTATTTGCAACGGGTAAGCATTTGTCTTTTAAATCGCTTTTCAATCATAGCATCGAACATCTAAATTAGAATACATCGATATTAGATATTAAAAATTTGTTTATTTAGGAATTTTAATCATTCGAAAAATAATATGACACGGTTAAAGACATCTTAATTTTTGAAACGTTCTTTAATCTCTTTAGTTCGTCTATTTTCTTGAGTTTTAAATTAGTTTGTCTACTCTATTTTTTTTAAATTGTCGCTATTTCGAACGTAGAGAGACTTCAAGATTTTATAGATATATAAATCATAAAGAAAGATACTCTACTCTTTAGAAGATTCTTTAGATGTTTATGGATATTTACATGTATCGAGTCTTAAATTGCTTCAAGATTGTTATTTTGCACTTAAGGAGTGTTATTTACGAGAAACTCAAGTTTTCGTATTGCCTAGTCATTCTATTACACGTAAATATGACGTACTGCCGGCGTAGTTACTCGAATACTCGATATACTCATCGCAGACGGAAGTTAATTCCTTCCTTGGCTTAAGCAACCCATTGACCTGCAGGCTTCTGTTCCAGAAATAAAACATGATATGGTTTAGATATTTATAATTACAGAAAATGATTGATCTGTGTTTTAATAAACTTGCGCTGTGACGCAAAATCTTTCAGATTTTTCTATGATCAGTAAAGATAATACGTAGATTTAATTGATGACTATCAATTAACTTCAGCTATTATTAACTATCGTTAACGATCTGTTCCTGTATTACGTTTATTAACCTTTAATTAGACATCTAATCCTCTTACAAGTAGTATTAGCCCTGTTATTTTCATTCCTAATTCTTTAATTGAATTCTTTTATTTTCTTTTTGTCTAATTGTAGAAAAATAATTTATGATTTCCAAATAACTGTTTTCTCCCATTTCTTCCAGAAATATCTCGAGAATTTATTCGCGATGTACTTTAATAGAGTACAATTAAAAAACTTAATTACGAAAACAAATAAAATGTATTGAATTACACCACAGGAGGTAACATAGAGATGTTATATTAAATTTATACCATGACTCACTCGACGATGACTCAATCTTTGAAATATATGACCACCATGGTGCGAATTCCGTCATAGCTTTCGATGACCCACTCTCAACCCAATCTGCGTAAAGAATTTCAATCTGTTTCCTTAATCCGAGTATTGTGCACGATGACGAATAACCCATCTCACTGAAACAATCGTCATACTTGGTTAAAGTTACAGGTTTCGTATATTTTACGTATGTACAAATCATATTGCGGCGGGCAAACAAAAACATACAATTACAAAAGTGCTAATTTATAAACTTCAAATGTAATATATTAATAATTTAACAATTTTTTTACAAAACCAGCTTGTTATAACATATCTATTATCTACAGACAAGTAGGAGGCAAATTATATTTAAGGATGTTATTTGGTTATCTCTTTTCGCATATTTATAATAGCATAATTTAACATTTATTTATATTGTTTGTTTTGTGTATCCCAACATTTTCTGAAGCCAATTTGTATACGGTAGTGATAAATCATTGTTATCATTATTATTACAATCTGTGCAATTATTCGCCCAAATTATCGCCACAATTTTTTGCTTATTTATTGATCTATTAAACAACAGCGGGGCATTCGCGGTTTTTATTGAAATAAGGAAAAGGAGTCTTTAGTATACTCGGCTAGACGTGATGTAGACGCTTGTATTGCTGCAATAGATCATATCTCTGTATAAGTCGCAATGCTAATAGCTAAACCGATAGGAATTCGATTCCTTTTCGTGGAAACGATATTCTTCGTACCTTTCTATTTCGATCCGTTGTGGATCGTAGTAAAAGAATAGCGGGGCGTTTTTTTATTACTCTGATTAAATCTTTAAAAGGTAAAAAATTATGTTTTTACACCTCAATCTTGAATTTCACGTGTACATTTCTTTACATTTCATTATAGTAACGTAGCAGATTTATATTTTAATAAGTTTTTTTTGTAAATTTGTCCCGGAATAATTGTTTAGAAGTCAATCAGCGGTATGATTTTTAACTAAAAGATCTGGAATTGAAACATTGAATATAAAATGTGTACTTTGTAACATATATTTACTTATATTTTTATTTTCCACAACATGAAAATGAGCATACAAGCTTTTTATTGCAAACGATGTATAATAATCGTTTCATCAATTTATTTACTGAAACTTTAATCTTATTACGATATATTAAAAATATATCGCAAAATTTGCAATGCAACTTCGAATATTGTCATACCACACATCTTAAAATCTATGATTTGAGATCTTCGATTAAGTTTGAAGTTAAAATGTGTTCAGTTTATTTCACGGTGCTCGTCGAACTCCTGCATCTCAAACCAGGTGGGCAGATAAAGAGGAAAGAAAACAGGAAGAAGAAAGCACTCAGAAGATGAAGGAAATGAAGCGAGAAGGAGAAAAGTCACGCGAAGCACTCTTAGTAATTACGGTTATTTCGATGAGCTTCTCGGAACGGTTAGATTGATCCCTCCTTAAATCCTCTCCTTTTACCGGGAATCCGCAGGAAGACCTCTCCGCGAAGAGAAATCGAAGAGCAAGTGGCAACGAGAGGGAAGAAATCGGAGAAGGGAGAACGAGGGTGAGGGAAAAGCTGGATAACAGTTACGTATATACACAGAATGAAAGAATTCTGATCGCAGAGCTTGGCAGTAGTTGCAGTGGACCTTCTCGGTGCAAAACATCGGTGAAGATCGAGAAGGTGATTGAAGCAAGTTGGCCTTTGGAAAAGGTCGACTATGTATTAAATTTATCAGAATAATTAATTAAATGTTTCTGAAGAAAAGAAGAGATATCTTTGGAAATAAAATTTCAAGTTGACTGAAAGGAGAGATTGACCAGAGTGCACGAAGATTAATTTTATGAGATCGGCATATTTGAAACTGACTGAAAAAGAGATTGAATCTCTTTTTAATTGGAAGAAAATTGGAGTCCTTTTACTTAATTCTTTTCACTCTTCAATCCAGAGTGAAAAAGATTTAAAGATTTTAGAGGTCAAAGACTTTTACCTGAAGTTCCAGTATTCCGTTTCAGTTTGTGTTTAATTAAAAAAAAAAAAGACTGTTTAGCTAATACTATTCGGTTCTCTTGAAAGAATATATAAGTAATCATCGGTAAAACAAATTGAAATGTATTTGAAAAATATTATAATCGCTATTTGAGAAACTAAGTTTGATTTTATCAAGCAACATTGCTGATCAGTTCAACAGAAGTGTGCTTCGTTTTATAAATATACAGTGATTATTAATAAACACTTATTATTACTGAAAAGTACTGCGGCGATTTAACAACTTGTAAAAGTTCACTTCAAGAGCTACGAAGATGAGGACGGTGTTGTTGTTGATAATCTGCATTCAACTTGGATTATTTGTAGTTGGCAGGCATCACAGGTGAGAGAATAATAATTTTGTTCACGAAACAATCACTTAACAGATTTGTCTTTTTAACTTTTTATCTTACTTTTTCCCCCATTCCTTAATTTGTTTGCTTTTCAATGTTTTCCTCTCTATTTTCACATTTCATTAGCTCTCCTTTATTTCCATTTTTTAATTTTTGTAAACATGTCTGCATTTTTCTCGTTCAATACAGGGACAGTGATTTTTTGAGCCACGTACAGTTGGTGCACCAATTTCAATGTTCGTTGCCCCAATCAAGGGCAATCGCAGTAGAGGATCTTTTAACGGTGGGCCTCGGGCCTGACGAAGCTTTTTATCCTGCATCCACGGTTCTGACGCGCTGTGCTGGATCGGGATGTTGTCCTGATCCCAAACAGATCTGCGCTCCGACCGAGACCAGAAACGTCAGCCTCGTCTTCATGGTTAGGCATCGCATTGATCAACAACGAGATCGTCACCACGAAGTCATCCATGCTGTGGAGCACACTAAGTGCGCCTGCATGGATAAAATCCTGGCCATGAAGAATTCCAGGTTTTGAACAAGAAAAATATTCTTAAAGACATCCACAGTCCTCAGATAAATTGACGACTAATTTTATTTGGGGGCTTATAATTTAGTTTTCTAAAAGGAGAACTCTTTAATTTGAAGGAAAATAACTTAATCTTCTTCAGTTCTTATCAATTTCTATTGATATTCCGAATCTCGATTCTAAACGTATTTTAGTATAAAAAAATTTGTTTATTTTAATATAACTTTTTTATTTTAGAATCGTAGATCTCAATTAAATGTATTTATCTATAATTAGATCAGATTATATTAGATTGCACTAGCAGACGAACAGAAATATTGCACCTGAACGTTAAAAATATATAAAAGCGAAATAGGTAAATGTAAAGTCGAAATGGAGAATCTACAGAATGAATTTTTAGTAATAAAGTTTTCTTTACTTTGTATGTCTCGTTTTAAAATAAATGTATAAGTTTGAAACAGACTTATAGGGTGCAATAAAAAATGATATTAAATATAAAAGAAGCAATACTTTTTTATGCAAACTTTTAAGAAGCATCTTGCTGTATTTATTACTGTGTTATCTTACTCTTACTATATTTTACTTACTTCTTTGTATGTTATATACATCAACTTGGTGTGGCAAATAAATAAACGTAAATTGAAACATCCCTAAAATTTCTACATTTGAAAATTTTCGAAAATTCCCCCCCAACCCTCCTGCAATTGTCGTTACTTTTATTCTTTTATATTAAAATATTGTCTAGCTGCGTAAAGATCATGTTTAATGCTTATGTTATTCGGATCTAGCTTCAGGGCAGCTTCCAGTTCGGGGATTCCATGCTGCGGCGCGGACAATTTGCAAAGCGCAGCACCACGACGAGCGTGACACCTCGCTCGCGATTCTCTGTTGCTTTCGCACTTTGGTTCCATTAGCTCTAGTACCTATGGAAAAAGTTTCTTCTTTAATATATCTATATAGCTGTAGCTTTTCTATATACTTTGCATTGAAGCCGATTCGATATTTAAAGATACGTAGAATCTCTTTTCTCTTTTATTTTAAAATTTAATTTATATGATACATAATTAATTTTATATTTTTGTTTTATTTTTAATTATATCTATTTTATATAAAAGTTTTTAATTTTTTACTATTTAATCTAGTATGTACACAAATTGTAATATTCTCTTCTATGTATTTTCTGTATCTCTCAAAATTTTTGCGAAACTTAGGAAATATTTCGAGAAAATACTTGGGGAAATAGTATTGATATTATAATTTCCATTACCTTAGAACAATCATCAATACACCTGTAATAATTTCCAAGAGCATAATGTGCGGCTGATCTGTTAACATAAAGTGCCGCCATTTTGTCACTGATTTTAATTCCATGTGTATATGCACTAATGGCACCTAAATAATTGCCTGCTTTGAAGAAGTCACTGTAACACAAAATAATTAACCAAATTAAATTAAAAATTATAAAATGTGTAATAAAGCAAACTTTTGCCAACGTACTCGCCCTTGTCTTTTAGCCATTGCGGATCTTGTTCTTCAGGACGAAGATTCTCGACAACAAATCCCGTTTTCCTTCTAGCTTCCGCTTGCTTGGAAAGCCACTGAAAAAATTAATTGCACATTTGAAAAATTTGTATCTATATTAAAAATGATGTCTAATCGAATAAGAACGTCAAGTTGAAACTATTCAAACTAGAAAAGAATTAATCCTCATCGGATGCCTCTGAGATAAAATAAATTTATAGTAAGTTTTCATTGAGAACTTTATTTCTATCAAACAATTTTTGTTTCTTGCAAGAAAATATTAATTTTTATAAGAAGCTTATTCTTAGCAAGATATTTATCACAGCATTTCTTGCTGAAAATATACATACTTCCTGTTCTTCAACAAAGGCACTCTCTCTAGCCGGAGTGGGGAAGGCCCGTTCGGAGAAGGTTACATTAATCGTTCCACTTTTTCTAGGGAGTGGAATTGCTTTTAAGGGTTCATCAAATATTTGATTTATCTTGGAATGTCGATCCTTCAGTATTTTGTCAATCAAATCCTGGTCTGGTCTTTGCTTCTTCATTTTGGTATGAAATTTTTGCAAGGATTTCTGATCCATCTCTTGAACTAAAGAATTTGTTGCAGACTTACAGGACATAATCTCATCATCTGATTCGGAATCCTCCAAACTGGAACACTCTTCAAAATTAATATCAGATTTGTTGTTGCTCAGATTTGTCGTTGTCTTTTTTTTTATCTTTGTATCCGCTCCTTTGCCGATATTTTTGTTGAGAGTTGTATACTCTTTAATTGTTGATATTTTTGTCAGATTTTCTTCAATATTTAATTCCTCTTTCGATTTTTCTTTAACAAGTAATTCTTTTCTCGTATTTTCTTCAATAGTTGAATCTTTCTTAAAATTTTCCTCAACAATTGGTTCTTCCTTTAATTCTTCTATAACTATTGATTTGTTTTCTTCTTGTTTCATGTCACTTTCCCGAGATTGTATGATACTGAGATCATCCTTGAACCATTTAAGAGGAGGCCTTCCAGAAAAATTCTTCGATTAGATACAAAATAGTCAAATTTTTTTACAAAATTACGTTCTTTTGACATTATTCTTATATATATTCTTAATAGTTACAATATTTTAAGGAATTTTCACATCTCACTTTAAAATACCTATATGCCTTTCTATTTTCTTGCACTTGGCCGGAAATATCCTGGAAGATCGGCATCTCTGCATTTGATCGCCATTCCTCGAAATCCTGCATCACAACTTTCCGATGACAGTTTCTCAAGGCCTCTATTTTATTCAAAGTGTCGGTATCCAAATTGACCTGTATTTTTACTGCTTCCTTTTGCAGATGTTGAAGTTTTTCTACAGAACAGTAATCGACTTCGTCTTTTAAACAGAACTATATAAAATGTTATAGCTTTTCGTTTTATTGACTCTGTTTATATTATTAACAATCCTTACCTTTTTTAAGTTTTGTACGATTTTCCGAAACACTTTGTGCTTTTTCTAAAATACGGTTTCTAGCATGACATTTTTCACTCTTGCTAATATTCTCCACCTCGAGACTTGGCCAATCGATAGCCAAGTTAACTTTTTGCAAGGAGAAGACAGCTTCAGTATTGGTCAAAGTACATTCACTATTCTCTTCGAGCACGTTTTCCCACAGAAATAATTCCAAAATAAAAGGTGGAAAGCTAATCTACAAGAAAATTCTGTTATATTATTTCCAGTTGCTCATGCATGATTTTAATATACGAAAGTTTCTTAATTAAAAAATTATTAAAAATAGTACATCTTTTTTTTAATGAAAAGTTTTTCTATATCCAGATTAAAAATGTTGTTTTAAACGCTACAAAACATTCTAAATACCTTTACGTAATTATCCATAACGAATAAATCCACATTTTTAGGGCGACCTTTTAAAGGCACGTTAATTATTATTCTTTTATCTGTCTGTCGCCATTGATAATCTTTTATGACTATCGCCATCCGAATTTAGATAATCACAGACAATTCGTTCGAATCGACACAACTTCAGTTTTTGTTCGTTGTAAAATTCTTATGTAGCGCTATGTAAAATATCGATCAAACAAACATATCTAAGCAACCGCAAGCGTAAAGAACATGTGGATTCATTATAGGTATTTTAATAACAGTAACAAGACACATAACTAAATATATACTTTCAAGCAAAAAAATTGTCGAAATATTATATTTGCATGAAAAATGTTAAAGGTAAAGAATGAAATTCAAATTTTATGTACTGTACGAATTACCTTTAATTAAAACGTTCAAGAGTATTTGTTTGACAATACTTTTCGTAGACATATTAAAAAGCTGCCGTTCTGCATGTACCTACATGATCATCGTATCTTTATCGCTTTAATCGTCTTCCCTCTCATAAACAATAATCCCAAATCAATGGAAACGTGTACATGACTCAAGTCACACACGATCTGACAAAAGCGAGTAGGAAAAGCGCACGATAATGTTTTTTGGGGAAAAAATGTTATCAATATATATCTTGGAGCTTAAACTATTTGGGATATGAAATCAAACAGGTTTGCCACTCACGATTAATCATGTCAAATTGTACTCTAGCGATACACAAGTTCATTTCTAACAAAATCGAGGAACCACTCCAAGTCGATGGCAAGTTTAATGAAATATAAGATTTATGCTACCTTGCGAGAAACTGTCGTAGAGCTATTAAAAAAAGCATTTTAAAGCCAAAGTCTGCAAGCTGAGATTGAAACTTTTCAAAAATGCCTCTTAAAATAACTTAATGATTATTCTTCGCCAGATTACATAAAGTAATTCGTCATTTTGACCATCGATTCCGGGTGTTTCTTAATTTTGTTGAAAAGTATATTATCCTCTTGATTACACATTTGCTAAAGGCTGTCGAACAACATGATCAAGGAGAAATGGCAAGATTGTTTTAAAAGCCTCTATCGCGATTTCTACAATTAATCAGATCGTGTGTGAGGCGCTTCTCGTAGTTACGTGGCTAAGTGATTCGTTGAAAATTGGCTATATAACTTATGATAAGTCAGTCAGTTTTGTGAAAAGTCCTTAAGGAACGGAAACACATTCAGGACTTGAGGATTCAAAAAAATCAAAGAATAAAAGGATGCAATCTGAATGTCACAGCTGGAGAACTAAACGATCTAATCAATCAAGGCTAAAGCAATCGCTGAATAGCAATTGACTGACCAGTTAAAACATTTTAAAATAACAAGGGTTTAGATGTTGTAAGATAAAGGATTTAATTTTTGAAGTTACAAAAATTAAAATACCACAAATTTACAGTGCTAAAATTCAAGGATCTGAAGTTCGAAGAATCCTAAGTTTTAAAAATGCAAAGGATTAAAAAAAATAACCCAAAAAGGAAGAATTCAGATTCAAGAACGCAAATTTGCAACGTTCTGCTCTAAGAAACTCAACAAATTCAAAATTAATCTAAAAATATATAATAAAAAGGTACAAAGATCGTAAATTCCAGGAATTCAAAGATCTAAAGGTCAAAGATGAGAAGATCCGATTCCTTCAGATTCCAAACATTTTCGGGCATCTGTTTACGGCGCCCAAGAAATCCTCATACCTCAGGATCTAAAAAAAGCCCTCAGTGAGTGTACAATTAAGGAAGTTTCGAAAGAAGGAAAAGCAAGAAAGATTTCGCTATATGTAATCGAAGTGCAGGAGGATCGTTCCACTGACGTTTCATCAATAGCAACTGATATCATATTACAATTCTTATAAGAAACACGGACGATTCATTCCCGCAGTTCGTTGTGAGTGTAACAACAAAAACAACAAGTGTCGCGTCGCAGTCGCCAAGTAATGCAGCTAATGGAGGACTTCCATAAGGATTTACGATCATAAAAATTTAGAGTTATGCCTCGTGGAGTAACATTATGACACTGTAATCGCTCTCTCACTGTCGCTCTGCGACTCACGCAGCTTGCACACACAACACGCATACATACATATTAATCGTCTCACCGGTTACAGTCCTCGTTATTGATCATATTTCAGTACATATGTATATTTACATGCTACACGCCCCGAAGTTCAACATTTCAGACTATTCGCGGCGAGGCGTTTTCGAAACGTTCAAAATGGAGCGCGAAAAGAATCTTCAACGTTATTATAAATAAGTACGCTCGTCCTCGCGTTCAGCGTGGCTCTCCGCTCTCGGCCTCGCGGAGCCGTTTCGCAGCAGTTTGCATGCTCGGGACCCCTTTTGTACGGGAAAGCGTAGCTCGGCTTTCGTTCTATCCGATGTGGAATGTCATTGGATTTTGTCGCAGAATTTACAGCGACTCGATTCAAGTCAATTCGCGATGAAGGACTCATTCCATTTTACGAGCGTTTGACAAATTCTGTGATAAACAAGGGAGCGGAGAATGCAAATCTCTCGACATCTCATACAGTGCGTGAAGGATTGCTTTGAGCAAATTTGGAGTGAATAAGTATAAATTACGAAGAAGTGTCTCTTATATAAAGTAATTATAGCAAGTCTGCAAGTATAGGTTGTCTCTGATCAATTTCGTCCCTTCCTTTCGGTCAACTTGATATAGCAGTTAGTTTATCACAACGAAATATTTGTTATGGAGAATCTTAATCAGCAGAGAATACAACGATATGGTATTAAATACGAGAAACGTATTATCAAGTCTATTGCTACTGTAAATTGCAATTTTTTATACTCGTAATATAAATATTAATTATATATAATCATTACCTTTTATCATTCAATATTAAAACATTGTTAATATTCAAATTTATATTCAACATCAACTTTAATTAAAAAAGTCATTAATTAAATAATATATGCTTATATTTAATATATATTATTAAAAATATTAATATTGATATTTTATCGGTATTGTAAATTGTATATATATTAATTGTTATTGATATAAAGTACGTGGAATATAAAAACTGCTCAATGCTCCTAAACATTCCGGATATTTCATCATCTAAACTTCTACAGAATGGTCCATTACTTTTTTTTCCAGTTATAAAACAAAACGCTACTATTATTCAACAAATAAAATCGTTTATGACTATTAGACATTGGCAATTACAAAAGTTTAAAGATTTTCAACAGTTTAGAAGTCCACCGTAATTGACCAGAGACGTACCTTTAACGAGTAATTAATAACTAATTAATAATTGACGACGCATTGTTTATATATAAAATTGAAGAAGACGACAAAAGACGTTTAAACGTCTATTTGAAAGATCGATTCTTAATCGTGGAAAAAGCGTCGTTAAACGCGATCGTAGAAATAAATATCGGAATAATTCTTATGTGCCTATATGTATATGTATATATATAATTATGTATACTATATATACGTACATACAATTACAAAAGAGTGTATTTAAATGACACGATGTTTTATTACACATTTTCTCGCGTTCTAGATGACCCATCTAGAATTAGAAAAGCGGCTGACGATTTTACTTCCCCCGTAAAAGAAAAGCGTTTGTTAGTCTAAAAATCGAGCAGCCGCAAACTTATACGCATAGGTAGAACGCGACCGTTTAGCTAAATTACTAGAATTTTTACACGCATTCGTACACGCTCAAACATACGCGCGCGGTCGCACACACATACACTTTTAAATAGTATTAATAACTGAGAAAAAAAACTTAATAGCGACAAAATAAGTATGGCGACAACAAGTAAATGCGGAGGTGCCAATGGACCTCGTTCAAGGAAACAGATCGTGATTGAACGGAAGCAGAGTATCTCGAAGGAAACGCCAGATTATAATGGGTGTCCCAAGAAGGCGCGATTTGTCCCTAGTTTTAAAAATAAATTATTATTTCGATTATACGAATTATTTTAAGTTATATGCTCCCAATCATTGTTAGAAAATAATTAAAATTAATCGTAATAATAATAGCTACTCGTTTTACCAAACTTAATTTAAAATTTCATAAAAAATTAGTAATTAATTATTAAAACAATAATTCTTCCAATTCAGATTAATTCCTAATAATATTAAAATGTTTTCTTATAAAGAATCGCTATTCGATCGTTATTATAAATTATTTCAAATAAAAAAAATCACATAATCATAATTAAATACACATAGGTAATTTTTCCCATTAATACTACACATGGATTTAATACTATCATTTCACACAAGTATCATGAAGAATTATTTGAAATAATTATAATGTCAATTAGAATATACAATTATTTAATATGTCGTAATTTTTATTATTGTTCGAAATTAATTGAATATATTAAAAGAAGAGAGGAAAAGACCCGAAGAGGCAATCATATAAAGAATGCATAATTTCCAGATTATGCTTATATAGTTCTTTCATCTTGAAGAACGTGACACTTCTATTTTAAAAAGGATTTATAGTTTTCTAGGTGACACCCTGTATGAAATGGACGGCGTCATTTCCAGTTCCAACGTTTATTTCTTTGGTAAACTTCTTTCCAATCTTCACACAGGAAATTTGCTTCCCAATTTTTCTCGATGAATATTCTCGACAGCTTTCCGACAGAGTTCGAATAAAATTTCCATTAATTCCTCCTTACCTCTTTCGAGATACCCTGTACACTTCGCGCCCAAAAAATCTTCATTAACCTACTGGGGTGTCTAACTGATATCGAATGCATCTAATTTATCCGCAAGCTATTTTTTCCGAGCGGCTTTCTCTGCTTTCCGTCGCATTCGTTCGATCTCTTTACGCTCCTTGCGCTCACGATCAGCCTGCGCCCTTAACTCCTTTAGTTTGCGCTTCAGATGAGCCTTAGCGTCACCGTAAACCCCTAAAGTCTTCAAATCTCTCGACTCTAAACGCAACAGGTTATTTCCATGAATGCCGTTATCCAAAAATTGAGATGAAAAGTGTTCTAAACCGATTCCTGTCAGCCACTGGCACACCTGAAAGGACAGTCTTACATTTAGAGAGATATGAGCTATTAAGAATAAAGCAGCAAAAACCCATGTTTGTCTTTAAAGTTTTTATTGCAATGAAAGAGAATGAAGACTGAGAGGGAATAAGGTAATATTAAGTTATTTAAAAAGCTCTCTTATGCATAATCTTTCTTTTTAAAGGTATCCGTTTAAATAAATTTGCGAAAAAATATTAATTCTTTAATTGCAAATTAATTTTTCTCAAATAAATCAAGTAAAATACTCACTTGTTCCTTGGACCAATCTGCGACTGGCGCATTCTGCCAGAAGTGGGACTTCTTGTCACCTAAACCAAAGTCGCTTAGGTGAGCGGGCAACCAAACTGTGCTCGAATCTATATTGATAACGCATGCACGATGGAAAGTAAGTAAAAGGTGTGAAGATTTTATCACGCTATTAGTAATCACTCCATCAGCAATTAATCATTAACTGTACTGTAGATGTTAGCATATTTCATATTTTGTTACACAATTATTTTGTTAAATGTTTGAACGTCTTTATAAAAAAGATATTGATACAAAATCATGCATTTAACGTTTAAGCAAATTTAAGCGAGTAAAGCGAAATTGTTCTTGGATAAAGTGTTATTGACTGCGCAGGGTTCTAAAAAGAATCAATGGAAATTTGTTTTTGAAAATTCTTCATTTTAATCTGAATCCTGTAACCTTAATTCCTGATTGAGTGATTGAAGCGTTAGTGCTGACACATAAACATTAACACATAAAATTTCTCAAGTACCTACGACGCCGCCGACTTTTAAAGGACTAGGATCAACACCGGGAGGACTCACAGAACCACCGGAAGACAAACTTGAGGGAGAGCTTCCCGGATGATGCCATGGAGCACTTCCGCTACCGATCAAATTTGATGGAGGAATCGCTACCTTTTTCACTAGAAATACGACAAGTGTAATTTACTACGATAAAATCACATTGTTATTACTGCAATTGGTGACAATGTGAATTCACTTTCTATTCTGTTTCACTTCAGTGTGAATTTTCTACCTCTCTGATTAGCCTCGTTAACAGCCTGCCGTATCTCCTCCACAAGATGATGCGTAACCATAGTTGGATCGTTATTATGAGGATTGTTGAGATCACTGAAATCTCCAGAGCTCTCCCTCGAGGAGTCGTTTCCGCCCAGCCGCTTTTCTCGCTCGGCCAGAACTTGCTTAAGCTGTTCTGCCAATGACGCAGGAGGTCCGGTCAAAGCTGCAGGGAGAATTCTTTTAATATATATTCTAATAAATAAGCTTTAAGAGATATACAAAAGCAAATTATAACCATGTATAATGGAATATTGATAATAATAACAACAGTTAACGCGTCGGAGGAAAAGCATTGGCATACTTTTCTGTGATTGCTGCCAACCTTGCTCGGTCATCGCTCTAACTTGCGAGCTGATGGTGCTGTGCTGGCGGATCGCAGTGGGATGTATAGGATCCATGTGCGATTTTCCTTTAAGTGAACTGATGGATGAAGTGCTGGAATAGGAACTCAGATTGGATTGCTTGGATGTTAAGTCGTTGGGCGACCTGCTGCTGTCTTGCGAAGTCATTTTTGAGGAGGAATCATCATCCGTGTTGTCGCCCGACTCGTCCAATCCGTAGTCCTAAAATAAGAATTTTTTTTCATCATTAAAAAAGAATAAAAAAAGAATTTTAAAACATATTTCATCTAATTCTACGCTAATTTTATCTATTTCTAAACATCATGTTCCATATTTAGTCTTCAAGCGAGCAATGTATACTGTAGTTACAATTTCTAATAGATTAATGCAAGATTAATCAACGTACAGAACTACTGTTGCTGAGGCCTCCAGATCGCCTGGGCAACTGACGATTGGCTAAGCCACCTCTGCTGGCTAGCTCTGCCTTGCTCTTGCCAGCAGAATTGTCCAACAGACGATGGGCTGGTACAGCACGATCTAATTCTTCCTTTACCGGTAACGGTAGAGGTAGTTTCCTCTCCACAGTCGCAGTCTTATCACCGTCATCCGGGCTACTGAGGTCGGAGGTCTCTGTATCGGAAAGCTGGCAGCTAGTTGATGAAGGCGGTGGTGGCAGTTGTCTACGAGAAAGCTGTGGTGTTACTATCCTAGTAGTAGTGTTATCGTACGGTAATCGTACTGGCAAACCAAATCGCCTCTGGGTCTCCGTCAGCTCCACCTCTAGTGTGATCACCTGGAGTGAAATGATTTAAAAATATTTTTAAAAGCACCTGTTCTTCCTAAGGCAAATATCATCGGTCCAATTCTTTGATACGCACCCTATCCTTGAGACTTTTTACCAGCGCATTGTATTCCGTGTCCTTTTCCTGCAACAATTGTTGATAGAACTCGTCCCTGGCTGCGATATCCGCGCGTAGTTCCCTGGCAGCTCTCCTGGCTCTGGCGTACTTCTGCTGCAGAGCTGCGTTCTGCGCCGTCGCCTGCGACAGCATCTCCCTGGCTGTTAGCAGGTCCTGACGAGCGGAGCCCAATGCTCTCTCCGATTCGTGAAGGCGTAATCCAGATTCACGCAGTTTAGCCGCATATTCTTCGCTGCCCGCTCCGCTGTTTTCCAGCTCTACTAACTGTTCAAAACAAAATGAGGCTTATAACATAACTAGTTGTATTTACATGACATAACATTACATAGGAAGTGTTCTCAAACGAAAATGCACCACAACTTAGGATTTGATACAGAAAATACAATTTTAAGATTTCAGTAAACATATGCCCATTAAGTGCTTGCTTTTGGTGTTATTATCGAAAAATTATGTACATCTTATAATTTCCTGGATGTTATGTTGTTTATTCGATATCGATTGGCATAAGAGGAGAATTGTCTGCAAGAATAAGGAAGGCATGCAGTTGCAATGAATGAAAGAAACAGCATCAGAGAAGATTCCTGAAATGTTGATTAGTAATACAACAGAACAACAACATAATACAGAAAATGTCTGCAAGATATAAAAAAATCATCTAAAAATGTTTCAAATGACTTCAATAATAAATTATCATTGTTGTAAGCAAAGAATGTTGGTGATTTTTATTTATTCCGATTTTTTTGCAATGAAATACGTACTAATGTCTCTTTATTTGGAGAGACATTGAATACAAAAATTAAGTATGGAATATTTGATTTTTTTTGTATAAAATGTAATAAAATCACATAGTAAATTGATTATCGCGACTTATTATAGTGACAATAAAACAGAAAATTTGTGTTATTTATGTACATTAATACACATAAGCTGTAAGCTATAATTATTCGCTTAATATTTCGTGCACTTTGATGTAGCGCAGGCGGAAAGAAAGAAAGAGAGTGAAGCGTGAAAAGTTTATAGAGATTAAGAGAAGCATGCTAAAGTATACATGCGGATAAGTAAAACGAGTCTATCCTGTAAAACGAATTTTGCATCGCACATTAATACTTTCCATATTAAAGGTTCTCCTATTAGTTGAAGCAGTTGTAATTACTTGAGTAACTCTGATTTGATTGTGATCAGTTAGTTAATATTATTCGAGTATCTATTATAATGTTACGTTACCTTCGCCTTGAGCTTTTCCACTTCCTCGTCCGCTAATGAGAGTTTATACTGACTCTGCAAGCAACCAACGACACGCATAGCGCATAAGCGAAACAAAAACAAAGAAAATCAATAAATACACACTGTGTGCGATTGCGATAAACTTACATATGTGATATGCTCTGTCGCTCTTAATTTACACACAGGTATGTACAAATGTATACACTACATCTTGTAGAAACATCACTGTTGGACAATGCATTATTCTAACGACTATTTACAGAAAAATAAAACTAACACCACACGTATAAGTAAACAGGTGCACAAACATTTTACTAAATATTCTTAAATAAACGGATGAAAAGGAGATACACTCGAATCATGAGGCATAAAATGTAAATGCGCAAAATACCTCTTGCAAGAGCAATCTCAGGCTGTCTACGTCGCTCTGCGTAGTATTGTGTTGCGACGAGCTAAGTATCGGAGATCGACTGCGACTAGAAGGCGACAGGTAATTCTCGATAGGACTGTGTGCCGGTTCCCCCTCCGAGCAAGAGGACATCGCTGGCGAACCAGGAATCCCGCTCATTCCGCTGCCAACGGAGATATCTTCGCTTCCTCGCTGGCCATCGGGAGAAGCGTCAGAGAAGTTGAGTTTTCTGTTCGTGGAAAATGAATTTCTTTCTTTCAATACACGAAGTGAACAGTTTGCTTGTCGTGACGCTATGAATTATGCTTATTATAGAAAACGTAGTTCCCTCAGCACTCCAAGATGCCTCAGGCTCTCATTGGAGTGGCCACGAAGTGTCGTCATGGAATTTTTGCGAGCAAGGATAAATCATCATCGGGAACGTACACAAAACAGTGTTGAATTAAAAGAAAAAAGGCGAAGAGTCTTCAAATCGAGTCAAAAAGGTATAAGAAAAAATATTTTCAATATATAATTTTATGATCTCATTGCTTAAGTCTCGATATATAAATGTGCCAATTATTATTGGATTATTAGTGCATTATTAAACAAGTGATTATCAAAATTTGATTTTAGATTCATATTATTGTAACAAAACTTGTCGACATAAAAACTAATAATTATAAAGCACAATCTTACGGTAATACTATTCAAAGATCAAGTTACACGAATACACTATTTTACCTATTGGCAGCGTTCGCCAGTTCCCTCTCTTTATCCGCCTGGAGACTCTGCCTAATCAACATCGCCACTTCCGAGTTCTTGGGGTCTCTCTCCCTGCCGATGACAAATCGCACGAGACCGGAGGTGTTCCTCAGCACGCTAGCGGCATACGCCTGTGTCACGCCGACTAAACTCTTGCCGTCAACCTCGACGATCTGATCATTCACCTGGATCCGACCCTCGCGCGCGGCCGCACCTTTCTCCGTGATAGTTTTCACAAAGATGCCCAACTTTTCTAGACCCGCGTCTGCGCCCACGCCCATGCCGATTATGCTGAGGCCCAAACCCTCCGGGCCCTTCATCAGCTCGACAGGAAACACCTAATTTTTTTTTTAAATTAGTACTGTAGCGCAGGGATTTCTTAAGAAAGTGCTTTTAATTTAAAATAAAAGATTAAGCTTCTTAAAGAAACTTTTCAAGATGCCCCAGGCTTCCCTTGAGAGGCTGTCCTTGACAGAGGGATCACAAAAAACCATCACGGAACATTTGTGAGGAAAAATAAAATTAGAAATGAAAGGAAACAAAGTGTTCAAGGGCTTTAAAGAAATTGCACTAAAAAATTATGTTACTTGCTAAAATTTCTGGTAAGGTCGCTATTAGTTTAATTTTATTGAATATTACAAAAAGAAAGAGCTATTTAGGATTACCTCCATTTTTTCGACACGTTTTTCCAGCTCGTACTCTGCACTGGCCGCCACAGGGTCGACATCCTCATTACGACGATCGTATTCATTAACAGAATGCGTGGAATAAACACGCATGGGACCGGTGTCAAAGGACACTTTGGAGGTCTTCTTGATGGGCACGGTGGACGGATAGTCGTCATCGTCTTCGTCGGATTCTGGGATCCCCGCCACTTCCATCCAAAAGTGACCGTCCTCGAAGTAATGCACGCCATTCTCCACGAGTACCTGATTGATCAAATATCTAAGTTAACGTTGTCGCAAAATTGCTCTAAATTAAGATAATAAAAAAATAATAAAAATTTCTTATACTGTAGTGAAAAACCATACATTTCTTTCGTGATAATCTGTATTTGTTCTCAAATTTTCTTTTTATCACACATCTACTCTCTGGTTCAATTCAATCGAGGAAAAAGAAATTGATAAGTGAGATTGTACTGTAACTATGATAAAAATACATATATATTACAATCTTTCCTGGTGTTGGAATATATTCGTCCTGATGCTCGGTTTCGGTGTCATCGTTAGTTTCGTGGGTGTCGTTTAAGCTGCTGACTGAACCTAACAGTCCGCTCTCACTTCCTGTGACCGATCCTATTTGACTTTCCGTTAACGAGTCTATTGTCAGGTCACTGCGAGATCTGTGAGACAAACTGAAATAAATAGAATGTTAACAGAGCCAAGAAGTTCGGGAAGAGTTTGAATTTCCAAATTTTAGTATAATTCTAAAAAGTTCGAAGACCTTTAGGTATCCAGTTGTCCAAGAATTGACAAGAACACGAGCGTCTATTATCCCGGATTATAAAAATTCAGGGAACGCAATTCTTAAATATTGAAGGAGTGCAAAGACCCAAAAAATGTTTAATCCTCCAGAGAATCCGAAAAAAAACTAAGTTTGAAAAATACTACGCAATCCAAAAATTCAATAATCCACCAAACAATCGATATTAAAATGGAAAATTTGCTTAAAATCGTTAAAAATGATAGAGAATAGAAATAAAGTAGCAAAAAGACACGGGAAAGGACGCGCAACCGAAAGGACGTAAAAAAAATAAGCTCGTTCACCTATAATCATGAGTGGCACTATTGATAAGACTGGAATCAGGAGCAGACAGGACATCGGACAGCCAGTCGGGCGTGTTGTCCTGGTCCTCCCTATCCCTGTCCTGTCCTTCCTTATCCTTGTCATTAGAAATCCCATCACCTATTATTGCGTCATTGGCACCGGTGGGAGACAGCAGCCTCGCTATCTCCTGCGCTTCCTCGTCCGATAGCAACGCCGAACCTTGTCTAATTTACGTTCACGAATCATTCACTTTGCTCTACGCACGAATTACGTGATCGCTGACAGCGAATCAATTCTGCGATTGAATGACAAAAGCAGTTATGTCCATTCGGTGTTTCATTCTCGACACTCCTTATTACTTACTATTAAATTTCGAAATATTTATTTGCGAAAAAAGAACAGTTATCTTAATCTTTTCACCAAAAGAATAGCAGGTGAAAAATAAGTGATTTAAAAAATGTATACAGATTTTTGTATACTTCTACAAAATTCATAAGGCTCATATTTAAGAAACACAAAGAATATATAGGACTAAACGCCAAGACAGGATATTAGTGTCTAAATAATTTATTTTAAATTTAGACACTAACATCCTGTCTTGGCCTTTAGTCCTATATCTTCTTTGCGTTTATTTATCTTTTCTTTTCTATGTATTATTCTCCTTCACAGAATAATAAAACGGACATGATTGCGATATATTTTTCTAGTCTGGTGCTTATTACGAACACAATCGACCAAAAAAGTGGTATCTTAATGATAAAAATACTTTGATATAATCTTCAAATAAAAATTTTCTTTTAAAACAAATATTTCTATAACTAAGTTCTCTTATCACTTAGGTAATTGATTAAATCTATTAAACTATCAACGTAACATTTTGCAATCAACAGGCTAACATATCTGCTTCCGTTATTAAGTCACAAAATTACAAGTGTACTCACCTAATCTTCTTTTCTAAGATGCTGCATGGACCATGGCAATTAGCAGATTTGCATTCAAATAAACACGAACGTATTAGAATCAAAATGAAAGAAAAACAATGTTATCAGTATTAAGCATCAAATTAAAAATTATTAAGTTGTAAGACTGCAGCAAAAAAATTTATTATACTATTAGATATAGATACAGCTATGAAAATTTTAATTGCTGTATTAAAATGCAAAGGCTCAATGCTAAAAGCAGCTCCTAGGAATAGCATCGTTTAAAAAAATGTTGTCTCTTTCATTGGTATTAATTATTAATTGTCAAGTGTCATATCAATAAGACTTGAAATATTTGAAAAACGATGATTCCTTCGTCCTGTCTCCCTCTTTGTAAATTTCTTATTGTTTCTATATAGTATTTTAAACACAATCTAACAGCCCAACTCGAAATTTGTCCTCTCTTACTCTATGTATTTACCGAGAGCTCAGTAGATTTTCAGCCTCGTCTGGCGTCATGGTATCCGGCGTAACAGGAGTGATATGATTAACACTGTTCTTCGAAGCTGTCTCTGCAATTCCAACAGAATTGTTCTGCATTTCCCTTGCTACACATTCCACATTTGTAACGGTCTTTGTGTCACTGGAGTCACTGTCCTCATACTGGCTGCTCTCCGACGTGGAGTGCTCGGATTTTTTGTTGGAATGTCTTTGCGAAAGCGCGCTAGGTGACAGCGAAGAGTCCTGATTATTGTTCTCCGATAACCGGAGTTTCGCTAATTCAGCCTTCTGCTTCTCTTGTTCCCACGTCGTCTGCGGCTGGTCCACTTCCTTTTCCAGCTTCCTACTCAGGACACTGTTCACCGCTGCAATGCACTCTTTCCTACTGACTTCAGATTTCACCACCTCTGTTACATATTTCTCCTCGTCTTTGCTCTCCTTCGTAATGAGCCCGAAGCTATTAATTTCCTGACTACGAATGGCTGATTTGTCCACACTATCCTTGCTTTCTGTCTCGACAAAACTGGAGCGCTTGCCAGAGACCTCCTCCCTGTTCTTTGCAATCTTCTCCCTTACGCTGATTTTGATTTGATCATTCTTCGCATTCGAGACCGTCTTCTGGCACACTCCATCGCTGCTGGACTTCACTTTCGCCTCCAGCGTATCTTCCGCGGACGTGGTATTGATTTTCATCGTTTCCGTAGTGCCGCCGTAGTTCTTCGCCTCTGTGTTTGGTTTCGATTGAGTTTTGCATTCGGTATTACTTTGCGAAACAATTTCCTCGCTCTGCTGTAACTTCTTGGCATACGGCGAGGGCACAGGGATCTCCTTATGTTCTAGCGGCGGATACTCTTGGTCAGAACTGATGACAGAGGGTGGACGTGGACCTAGACCCGCGGCCTGAAGATCAAGACGCACGTGAGAACGTCGAATGACCGTGGTAGTGTCCGTCTCGTTGAACTTGAACTGATCCTTCTCGGAAAGGCTCTCCGTGCCCGAGACACAGCTCTGATACGTGGCTGGCTTATCCTGGTCCTCCGCTTCCAAGTCATAGCTGTTGCGACCTGAATTGGAAAAAAATAGATTTATGATAACATTAAAAATACCGAAACTGACGTATATACTGAAGCGCTGAAATAGCTTAGCGGACTAACACAGACGCCAAAGTACCTCCGCAATCGATGCATAGTAATCGCAGGCACATAATTTTATGTCTTCCTGGAGAGTACGTGGCGCTTCAATAAGTATAAAAATATTCATACAAAATATAGTGCGGCGTTTCATATACATATACATATAAACACTAATCTTGTATTCTATTACAAGATCACGCACTCGCGTAGAATATAGGCCTTCAACTTAATAAATCAAACTAAAGAACTGAGTGGGGAGTTTTAACATTATTTATTATTTATATAGCGAAATTGTCAAGTTTTATTTTTAAAAAGTATTTCTGAAAAATTCTATTGTACTTGCAAGTATATAACATTTCTTTCCGTCAAATTCTGAGTATATTCAAAAGCTTTCTCACGCGTATTTATTAACAAACTAATATTTCCCATTTTCCATTCTTAGCAACTTATGTTATATTTATGCAGTAAAGTAACTTTTACAAACTTGCTCTTTTCGCATTTATAAAACGCATTATAATTCATTCTATCTTTGGAGAAGTCACTGTACTGATCAGAACTGTTTGGAACACAACATTGACGATCTTTCAAATCCCAAAATTCTGTGGAGAGCCCCAGAGACACTTTTGCAAAGTAAACGCGATGAGGCACGAGCGTTTGGCTGCTGGACAAGCCGCACGGTGATTTCTATAAATAATACCGTGGCACACTGGTAAAAGAGGAGGTGGCAAAACAAGGGAAGGAGAAAAGGGGCAAGAAGAGGGGGGAGCCTGCGTCTGGTACTTTTACTTTTTGGCATTTTGGCGCACTGCCATCCCAGCCCACGACAGCGAAAGTCACCTGGCTTCACCGACGCTTCTCAAAAATGTCAACGTTTATTTTTGAAGCAAACTATTTGCCATAAAAACGTTTAATACATTCCAATGCATATTAAAGTCTGCGTATAAGATTAATAATCGAAATTGCTTTCCTTTGATATTCCTCTTTCGGAGCTCACTTTAGTAAATCCCCAAAAATTCCTTTTCCTGTCTTGCTTGCGAGCTAAAATTAAACTTGCGCAACATCGAGGTGACTTTCATTAATTGCATTAATAGCCATCAATTCGCGTCAATACACTTTTTCCATTCGATAAAATTCCTCGGTCTCGTAAGACTTTTTCCACGAATCTAGTAGCTTACCTGTCTGATGCTTCTCCGACATCTCCTTCTCCGCTTTTTCCTCCTTGCTATCCTTGGAGGGCGAACTAGGTGAACTCATGCTGGATGAGGCACTGTCGGTGCCTGCGGAGGGCAGACCCAGTTCAGATTCCGGCGATCGTATCTCGGTTCTTTTATCGTCTCCAATCTCTTTTCTCTTCGCGCTCGGTCTGGCCCAATCGGGCCTTGGGTCCGATCTGGTCGCCTCGCTACGTAACTCTCCCTCCAGAGCCTCCTTTGACGAAGTCTTCAACTCTCTCAAGTCCACGGTTCTCTTCAGAATCTCGTCATTTTTTGCCAGCCATTCGTTCCTCCACTCGGAAGTCTTTGCTGGCGAGTGAATCGGGCTCGGAGGACAGTTAAAGTACTCCGGCGCTTCTAGCAAGTCGCTCTCTCTCCTCGTCAGGATATTGTCCATCGAAGCACTTCGGACTTTACTAGAATCCTCGTAGTGCGGTGCAGGCGATGCTTTCGTCTGCTCGGGAATGCCACTATACTCGTTTGCGATGGCAGTTTTCGATTCTGGAGTCGCTGAGCCTTTTGTGACGTCTTTCGATCCCTCCACAGCCTCCTTCTTTGAAGACTCCGTTGGTTTGGAAACTATAGCTTTGAACGTTGGTGCGTCTTCCATAGATGTAGAATTTTTCAAGGTTTCTTTCAAATTTTCTGTTGACCTCAAAGCTGCATCTTTGCATACTGGAGCTACCTCCACAACTGGCGGGCCTTTCACAGTCTGCGTAGTGGCCTTAGAAACCTCCTTGGTATCTTCCATTGATTTTGAAACTGTGATTTTGCTTCCTAGAATTGGTTCGGCGGTCGCGGAGCTTGTCAAACTCTGCACAGTGGATTTAGAGACATCCTTGGCAGCTTCCATCGACCTTGAACTCGGGATTTTGCTTGCCGTAACTGCCTCGGTGCTAGCTGCGCTCTTCAAATTCTGCGTCTTGGAAGTCTCTTTGGAATTCTCCGCCGACCTCAGAGCCGCTTTTGAAGTATTTTTCTGAACAACGGCGTACTCTGGCAGCGAGTCGTCCTGAGTCTTATCGGCGCCAGCGCTTTTGCTCTCTTTCGGAGTGTTTTGAGGTTTCTTCTTCTGCACAACGGCGTACTCTGGAATCGTCGGCGAGACGTCGTCAAACCTCTCCACCGTTGCGTACTCCGGGCTCTCCAGCAGTTCAGACGGACTGGCGGCGGCGATACTCGCCGGTCGTTCCCTCCTGTTAGCCGCGGACGAGTTCCTGACAGGCGGAGGTGGTGGTGGAGGTGAGCGTGCCGAGCAGAAGCTTGCCGATCTGGTAGCTGGACTGGCAGAGTCGCTAACTGCCGCGCTCGTCGAGCTCTGGCACGCGTCAACGAACGACGACGACTGCTGCGCCTGACTTTGCGCATTCTGAGAGTTCAGGGAAGTTTGAACCAGCGGGCGATTCGGATCGGAATTATAGCGGTTCGGTCTAGCCTTGGAGAAGTGGCTAGTCCAATTCCGTTGCTTCTCGATGAGCTCCTTCGAATTCGGCCGGCGTTCCGGCTTCTCCGGCCGCTCCGGACGATCGTTCTCCTTGCCCGTCCGTTCGACCTTACTCAAGCCCGCGCCGGCACGTCGCTCCGGCACGCAGTGACCGTTCTCGAAGTGCCGCTCCGCGTTCAAAGCCGGTACGCTGGCGCTCCACGTACTCAGGTGCTCGCGGCTGCCCGGAGGAGAAGGTGAGTGAGGACGGGGTGACCTCGTGGGCGAAGTGCATCCGGAACCCGAGTTCGCGGAACTGGAGCGAGATCGGAGACCGTGCAAGTTGTTCGGTTTTGTGACCCGCTCCACTCTGTAGATTAAACGAGCATGTCAATAACGATATCGAAGTCATTCTACAACGTTATCTTTTTGTACGCACTAGACTTCTCTTATTGTTAGACAGATCTTTTATACTTCATAAAATATTACGTATCTGGCAAAGATAAGTATTTCTGATAAGTTTATTCTTCGAGAAAAAATTCTGGATATGTCATAAAACATATAATATTATAATAAAAGTTCACGTTTGCAAAATTACAAAATATAAACAAGCGGAATAATTCTTTTTGTAGTTTTCAGCCATCTTTACATTCGCTGAAAGAATTTCCGCAGTTTACATTCTAATTAATAAAAAATTTGTTCAAGTACAGTTTTTTTATGTCTTTCAAATTGCTTACGGTCTGGTCGATTTGTTTTCCTCGCCAAGTTTCTCAAAGAGGGCTCGCGCATTGTTGAAACGTGCCACATGGCTCTCAGTTCTGACTACTGTCACTTGCGTCGGAGACTCCTTTAGCGGGACGGCTGGCTCCTTAAATCCATCCGAAAGAATATTGTTCGTTCTGTGACTCAGGTTGTCCAGTTGCGGCTTGGATTGGAAAATGTTTGCGATGGCCGACACCTTGGAACCACCCACTCGCTTTTTCTCTTCTATCGCTGCCATGTCTGGCACAAGTTCTGCAAGGAAATATAACTTTGAGTTACCCAGATGTATTATCCTCACGATCCAAGACAAATTTATCATGCAAACTTGGTTTTTTTTGTAACAAATTATTGATAAACGTCTTAAAGTCGCAACACAGGAACTAAACAGGGTGTCCCAATTTAATGTCCCACCCCAAATAACTTTTTATTTTTGATCGCAGAAAAAACGTTTCAGACAAAAGTTGTTTGGTTCGAAGGGGGACATAAGATGGTGCCATTAGTTTGATCTTGACGAGTTGCTCGAAGGTCGCGTAAAGGTCGGCTTCAATTTTTTGGAATGAAACCCCCTATTGTTTATTATACTATCTTATTCTACTAATTAATATGGACAACTTTTGTCTGAAACGTTTTTTTCCGCGATCAAAAATAAAACGTTATTTGGGGTGGGACATTAAATTGGGACACCCTGTATAAGAGAATATCTGTTGGTAAATTATGTTAATATTAAAAAAGTACTTGAGTAATACTTTACCTATGACTGACAATAAGTAGTGATATTTATATATAAATGCTAATCATTTAAGTGTTTCATCCCATTGTCATTCATATACATTCGATATACTTCATTGCAGTAACCTGTAAAAGAAATCATTAAATTTCTATTAAATTTAATCGATAATGATTAAAGAGGAAAGATTAAAGTTCTAAATATACATATGTGTAATCTGACATTCTGCATATATAATAAAATCTCAATCAAGTCATGACTAATCATTATATCTTATCTTGTGTTTTAAAATAATTTTTCCTGCTTTACTTAGGTCTATTTATCTTACTATATTTTGGAACAAAATTTTTATTTACAAGATCAATTAATTCGTTACAACAAGTGACAGAAAAGAAAATTGTTTTAGAATAACGTTGCGATTAAATATTCTTAAGTAAAATCTGTCTAGATTTCATGCTTTCGCGGTACATCAAAGAACATACATTTTCTGCCATTGTTGCCTATAGCTATCGCATATTAACACAGTCAATTGGATTTTCTGACCTTTACAGAATTTGAATATCTACCCATCTTAAAGAATTAATACCGTGCATGTTTCCCCAATTTTACTATTTTTATAACGTATATTTAAAAACATTCTAAAATAAAAAATATAAGTACGCAAAAATATATCCTTTAAAAATACCAAAGTCAAAATTAAGAAAACAAAAAAGCAATGCGAAAATAACATCTCGCAGTAATATTAAAAATTAGTTTTATATAATAAAATTGCATGAATAATTAATGTATATAAAATTATAACACACTTTTGCAAATGTTAATAGTAATAATAACGAATTAAAAAATTATTTTGCAGCAATTATTTCGTCACAAATATAATTAATTAAAATGGAAATCGCGCGGTCATAATATCTGTGAGGTCCTTCTACAATATTTACATCTTTTTCTAATAAATGACGTGATCGCGGTTTTTATTTACATTTCTCTCCCGTATTTTTTAATCATAAGTGCTGTATCTTTACGTGTTCTGAAAAATGCTAATGGAAACAAAAGCTGAATGACAGGTATAAGATATAATAGGTGGGTCTGCCATGCCTGGGTTTCAACCCTCCTCCCATAGCACACCATGTTGCTGCAATCAATACTTGAATGCTGTCCCTATGGTATGGATAGATGCGAAAAGAGTTGCAACTTTGCATCGCTCACATGATTGTCTAATTACTCGCTCGAGCACAGACGCGGTCACGTACATTTGCATCGCAGCGTTTGCAATGGGGAATTCATTCACAGCGTTCGCTGTCCAAGTACATTCTACATAGATATCTGCACATCTAGGTACTTGAGACGTGTTGAAAATAAATAAGTCTATATTTAGACGCGAAGCTCTCTTTCTCTGTGAATTGTTTGACTTGAAACATCCACTACTTCCCTGCTGACTCCTCAATGATATATTTGGAATGGCAGTAGAAAAAAAAAGTTGTGTACTTCTTAAATGTTACAGTTTATCGCACGTGTGTGAAAAAAGTTACGTTAAATGTTACAGTTTATCACACGTCTGTGTGTGTACGTCCATCCACATATTTGCACGCGTACATGCACGACGCTCGTTATCACTTTTCATCTAATAATCTCATTAAATAGTACAATCTGATTCAACTCTTACGAAACTCGTCTCGTCATTAAACACGAAATTCAATATCAGTAAACCGCCACGTATATTTCAATATCGATTTAATTAGTATTTCGATAAATGTGTAATAGAATTATAAACTGATAAAAATAATCGAGCTCACTGGAAAATGTAGAAAAATTGCATGACGACCAATCGCTGGCAAATTCTAATTGAAGAAGTTCATCGCGAAAAATATTACCTCTCTAGAGGAAGGGACCCAGGTTCAAACCCTGGGCGAGGTAATATTTTTCGCAATGAATTTCTTTTTAATTAGAATTTGCCAGCCACTGGTCGTCATGTAACTTTTCTACATTGCTTAATCAATTACTGGCGAATAATTCCTTTACGTTACCGGAGAATATCAATTACAAGCATCTTTTCGAACTCGCAGAACATCAAACGCGACATACTTTCGTATCGTGCTACATGGAGAATTAATCTAACTTATTTATTGGTAAGAATCAGTTTAGCGTAGGATAAAATTAATGAAATGTTATCTTCAAATTTAGGAATATCACAACATTTTTCTCACGGTGGCCACGGAGCGTGCGTTACAAATTTTTTCGTATGACTGAACTATTCGATTAATGAACGCTAGATTGAAAATAAACTCGAAGCCTAGACCGTATTGTTACAGACATGAATGCCGCAGTAACAACAACATAAGGCGAATTTTGGCGATTGTTTGGCACATGTGCTCGGCGTCATGAATGTTTTTACACCTGAGAAATAGCCATTGAGTTATATTCCGATAGAACAACTCATTTTATTCAAATGAATTTTCCTATTGGATATTTTTCAGCGTGTTTTTTCAGGCGCTCGATCATGAATCTTCCTCTGTAGCGTGAACTCGTGACAAGTGAGAAAATTTCATTGACGAGTTTAATATTTACACAGCTAGAAAATTTGTGTTTTCTTGTTAAAAGAAAAACGCCGGTGAAAACTTTCGTGTTAAATGTTCAACACATTCATGTGTTAATTTAACATATTGCTCTTGTGTTAATCGACCTCAAATGTAAAATTATTAAAATAACTGAAAAAGCAATGTTAAAACAACACAATGTGTACTTATTCTTTAATCTTACCCAACAGATGTTATATATTTTTAGTAACAAGATTTATCTGTTAAAATTTACAGAACAAAATGCTGATTTTATACTATATAATTCATTTAACTTATTACATCTATAAAATGTAAAAATTACATTTTTTACACTCATTCTACCATTAAAAATATGTTAATTTTACAGAAAATTAATTTTTAATTATTTTGAGATTTGCATTTATCTCGTGTTAAAATACTAACAGAGTATTAGTGCGATTATTTAACGTATCCACATTACGTTAAATTAACAGAAAAATTTACGTGGACCGTTTGGGACATGTGACATCTGTTAAATTTAACACAAATGTTTCAACTGCGTATCAATAAAATTTTTCACTTTTCACGTTAGAGAAAAGGATTCATGATTGAGCCCCAGGTGCAAAGGCATTCGTGACGCCGAAGGTACACTTTGGTACGTGTACAAAAAATCGCCTATAGTAAAACACAGCGAGATGCGAGACGTCCAGATTGTTACACGCGTGTCCAACGATATTTCATGTCAATCTTGAGCCTAAAAACTTCATAAAGTAACACAATCTGACACAGTTTTACTAAACGAATCTTGCCCGAACCAGCGAGATTCCAGTTGTACATCGCTAAACCGTTTTGTACATTTCAGTGAATTAATATTCCGATAACAATGCGATAAAATTAATTGAACATAATCGAAACCCCGTAACTTCGCTACAGACACTCTTCCAGTCGTTAGAGGCTATCAAGCGTAATACTTTCAAAATTGCGCCGGGGAATCGTTAATTAATTTGCCATCGGTAGAGGCAATCAGGAATAAATTACAAATGGTAATTAGTAAAAATAAATGTACGTTGAGGAGATTAAATTACATTACGCTCTTCAAACTCAGGGGTTTCACGAATTTACAACACTTTTCCGGCAGCAACCCCGTTTGTAAATTATCTCGTATGATTTTCGCCAGTAATAATACAATAAAACAGTATTGGCAAATTAGCGAGCTATAATGCGCAGGTAATTAATTCAGTTTCGTTAAACAACGTAAACGCGTCGACACGTTACGGGACGTCGAGAGCGTCGGGGCGAAACCAGTCGCAAGCAATTAGAAATTTTCTTCGTGAGTTTACAAAGGCAAGTAGGACGAATTTAAAGGTCACAATTTCTAAATTCGCCGAGGGATCTCGCGAAACGGAGCGGACTAGCAATTCGCGTCGCTGGGGCTCGTTACTTGCAAATCGCTCGGCTCGGCTTCGCGATAAGCTCGAGACGTCGGTATCGAGACACGGCGAGCGAACAATTGGCAGAACAATAATTGCAATGCGGTGTTCGCGAGGCAAAACATCCTCCCGATCGCCATTACACCCCATGGAGGTCCCCATAGAGCCGCTTCGTGGAGCTCGCCGGCGGCGGCGGCGGCGGCGGCGGCGGCGGCGTCGCCCGGGAGACGCGCCGTGGCCTCGCCGTGGCCTCGCCGCCGCCGGCCGGGTCCCCAGCGTGGAATTGTCTGTCGAACTGACCCGGAAGACGATGTCACCATGTGCGCGCGAGCATCTCTTGGACGGGCGAGCCGCACGACTTGACACGATTCCGCTCTGCGGCGCCCTCGGCAGTTTACGGTTCCTCGCGTCCCGTTCTCGCGACACGGCGCAGCCACGACACGACGGGATGGACGCTGACGCCGACGGAGTACGCGGGTAAGGTGTCTGCGTTGACGTTAATGCACAGCCACGTCCGCCATGTCCGCCAGGCGGCGAGCTCCGGCGCGTCGTCGATCCCGATCCGCGACGCTTAACGATCACCGCTTCGCGACGCGCCGTTCCATATCGCGAACTTGCGCCAACTGCCCCAGCCAGCCGACGGACACCGACGGACACTGCCCGACCAACCCGACCGCATTGACAACCGTGCGAGGGACGAGGCAAGATGGCCGGTTCATAACCTAGGGACTTTCCCCGGTCCGTTCGTTGCCGTTAAACCTGGGATCACCGACGACATGTGCAGGGTGTCTCATTTTCAATGGTCCACGCATTTTCATTGGACATAGAATTGACCAATCATAGTCGACTATTGGCCGCGTTCAGCAGATACAACTGTTGAGTGAGCGCTCGGTATGATTGGTTAATACTTTTAGATTCAGCCAATCATATATATTAAGAAATTATTGAGCGCTCTCTCAACAGTTGTGCTTGCTGAAGGCCTTCAAGCCTATCACACAATGCGAGGCAACAGGCAATAGGAATAGGGAATAGAATTTTTGACGCGTTGGATTGGTTGAAGGAAAATTTCCGACGAATCCAACGCGTCAAAAATTCTATTCCCTATTCCTGTTGCCTGTTGCCTCGCATTGTGTGATAGGCTTCACACATAAAATTCCGTAAGGACGTAAAACGTAAACATAAGAAAATCGACCAATCACAGTCGAGAACGTAAGGCAATGACGCAAGCAGTAGCAAATCCAACCTGTTGATTTTCTTACGCTTACGTTTTACGTCCTTAGGCTGGGTCTACATAGGATGTAGTAAGTCGTGTCGGAAGAAATTGACCAATCACAGTTCATTATTCTTCGACCGTAAGGGTGGAGTCCCATGGAGCGGAATACGCGGAAGCGGAATCAGCGGATCGCCAATCGCAAGATTATTCTGATAGAGCCCTTTCAAAAATTCCGTCGAAACGGTCTTGTGATTGGCGATCCGCTGATTCCGCTTCCGCGTATTCCGCTCCATGGGACTCCACCCTAAAGGTACCATTTCATGCGCAGCATACTGCCGCAGCAACTCGCTGCTATTGGTTGAAGAATTGTTACTAGATGCTGCAAAATAAATTTCACCATATTTTGCTTCATCGCTGTGAAGTTCAATTGAACGAACAGCAAAGCAGCAGACACGCGATCTAGCCGGCCAGTGCTGCTGCAGCTATTCCTTTTCCGTGAGCAGCAAATATGCTGTAGTGAATTTGGATCACGTGACTAATTTGCTGCTGCTGCATGCTGCGTATGAAAAGGCACCTTAAGGAGAATAATGAACTGTGATTGGTCAATTTCTTCCGACACGACTTAAGCCCGCTGCAGACGATGCTATTTTTCCTGCTGGATTGCTTGCGATTTAGTAAATTACTATCATTGCACCACTCAGCATTCAGGATTCCTAGTAATTTACTAAATTGCAAGCAATCCAGCAGGAAAAATAGCATCGTCTGCAGCGGGCTTTACTACATTCTATGGA